ATTCATTGAATTTTGAAATTATAAGTTTTTACACGATTAATACGAATAAAAATAAAATTTTATAGTTTAAATTACAGTAAAATTTATGTTTGTTTTTAAGCCATAGGTAATTTGAACAAATCGCTAATCCGAATGACCACTTTCCCCAATCTCATTTGGATTATTGAGATCCTACTGTATATATTATTTATTTTTTTGTTCTGTAATATAATTTGAAAAAATACAATTCATTGGCAAGATTAATGAATGAGTAGTGACCCTGAATAATATGTCTTTTATTTTAACAATTAAATTAAGCCAACATATCAAAATACAAATACAAATAATATGATATATAAAACAATTATCAATAAAGATTGCTTAGTTTTTTATAAAAAAAAAGTTATTAACATAAAAACTTTTAAATACAAAYATCCAACTAAGTTTTTAGTAGTTTAATATACATTTTGTCCAGTGACCATCAAAAACATGTTGGTAAATGTATAGGTGATCACACTTACATTTAGACATATTGTCCATATAACTTTTCATAGATTTAGCTCTATCATGAAAACTTGCTGTATCATTCAATCCAACTGACAAACTATTTGAATTCATACTTTTTTTCTTATGCGCTTGTAACTTGTCAACCTTTTCTTTGATATCCAACTTCATCATCTCAACTTCAGGATCATATTTATCCCATTTAGAATATGAAGCTTCCAATGATTTGGTTTGCACACCAGATGTTTTGTGCATTGATAATTCCTGTTCAGGCTAAAATTATACAGTACATTTTTTAATATTTAAAGTAGAAGTTAGAAGAATCAATTTTCCTCAGTTGAATTTAACTTTAAATAATACCTTTTCACTATTAAACATTGACGTCAAATTAATGGATTTTCGAACTGGTGGTTCACTGTGACCATTCATGAGACTTTTTGAGTATTGCCTTACAGATGGTACATCTATTTCTTGTTGRTTTGATTTTTTTATCCAATTCTAAATAAAGAAATATTTAGATCAATTTGAAAGTAAAATATTATGTTAAATAGTTAAAATTTAGTGAACTAGAATAWGTTAATGACATTGTACACTAGACTTAAATGAAAATTACCAATATTTTCATAAAGAAAAATTTGATACTTATTATTACCTTATAAAAAAACCCAATATACAGATCAGTATGTTTTACTAGTAGATAGAAAAACTTCTAGAATGCTCCATTTAGAACTAATACAAATCAATACACTCAAATACTATCCTTAAGAGGACATTATACAACCCTTTGTTTTCCYCGTCTTACAAGTGCATAACATTGCAAATTTACGGTCAGTAGATCATGTTTAGCTTCGTTAGCTTAAAAATTAGAGTGAATCGACCTATTATGAAACTTGATGTTAAGAACATTATCTRTGTTTGTATGTTGGTTTTTTATGGTAGTTCAATTTTGTAGCTAGTTATGCATATATAAAAAGTGTAAATTAATAATGCTCATAATTTACTTAAAAACTAAGTTATCGTAAAAAACCCACATACAAACACAGATAATGTTCTTTCCATTAAGTTTYATAATAGGCCAATTTATACTAATTTTTAAATTAACGGAAWTAAACGTGATCTGCAAAGAGTAAATTTGTTATGTTTTACACTTGTAAGACAGAGACAAAATTTGGGTTTTACTCAAAGTATCAGGTGTTATTACATAGTAAATAGACATTTATCTTTATTTTATTTTTCTGATATAAGGATAGTGAATGAATGACCCTGCTGGATTCATACATATCGTGGTTAGGTCACAATAACCAAAATATATAATAAAAATGTTAATATTATACCTAAACTAGTATAGATAGATCGGGTAGTTCATAATTATGTATGAGTTGCCATTAGGTAATGGTTCATTAATTTCACAAAAATATACCATATAATTATATTAATTTATACATACATACCTAATACATTGTTATAATTATGAAAATTAAGTTTACAGTAAAAAACCTATACTTAATATAATACAAATTACAGATTTAAAATCATACAATCATGAACAACTGAATGAGTATACAAATGTTGGAATTCAACTTGATACTTGATCACTTATAAATCATGATAGCACATACAATCTCAGCGTGTAGTCTACCTCGGGACTAGATAATTTATGTAGAAAAGTTATTGAGTTGTTTGAAGAGTGTTGAACTACTTGTACATATTTTATTACTTACCCATAGGAAAGCAACCAATACTAAACCCTTTTCGTTTATAAAAAAATATTTATCTTTTTGATTTTTTTTKGGGGGAAGGAGACTAGCCCAATCAGGAATATAAATGAGGTAAAGTTTTCAGAAAAAATGTATCACATAATTTTGAAATTACTGTATAGTACCTAATGGCTTTTTTATTWTATGTAGCTAATTAAAGATAAGAAATAATACAATAATTATTAGTACTACTTAGAGAATTGTTTTCTTCAAGATAGGTAGTGATGGTAAAAAAATGTCTAAAAGTAACTTAATATTTCATTTTACCCATGCATTGGAGATACAGCATTGCCCAATTATAACTACTAGAGTATTTAATAAAAGATCATTCATTATAAGTAATTGTTAAAATAATTAATTAAAAATATTCTAGACATTTTATCTGTTCTAAAAATATATATGCATTTTGGGATACAAGACTTTTGGATATTCTAACTAAATAGCCTTGTCGGAATAAATAATAACATGTCAAAAAGTTACTGTTATTTAGAAATATTTATTATGTGCTTTATATTGTTAAAAGAATAATAACACAATTTTTGTCTTAGTATGTAAATATTACCATTGAATAGACAGTAKTAAAATACATAGAATATTAAACTCATTAAGTAAAGTCTTAAGAGTAATAATTTTTCATTTAAGAAAATTGCTGATTAGGTACTTATATTATTCATTTCAATAGAAAAGATATTTTTAAGAAAATATAATATATACCAAATTATTTTATATTGTTTTGCTAATACCTTGATGATAATCTTCTTCAGTTTATTTTCTTCAATAATTATTTTATAACCCTTTTACCATTTTAAATTTATAAAAATAARTTTAATTTAAAAGTTTTTTTTGCTCAACAATTTGTACCTATCTATTTATTTAGATTATATACTTACAGCTATATCATTAAGTTCATCACTATAATCTTCATTTGCTGGTAGTTCAGAAGACTTTTGTGCAAAGCAGAGCTTTCTATTCAATATTGAAGCATCAGGTTTAATTTCGCGTAGACGAGTTTCAGTTGCAGTTAACAGATCGGGATAAAGCCCTTCTTCTCCAGATCTGAAATAATACATATTTTTTATTGAGTTTACTAATTTAATTTAACTCATTGTAACTTATTTATATTATATCGATATATGTATACAATATCAGGGTTTAATTTAAACATTTTAGGATATTATGTATTCTTCAAATACCTAAATTATTTGAAACAGAATAAATTTAAGATGTATCTAWAAACATAACTTGGAAATATTAGTCACTGTCTTATATGTATTATAAAATACAAATAGACAATATTAAAAACCAGAGATGATAAACTATTAATCACTACATACAAAATAATACTGAGAGGAAAAAATAAGCCAATGTTAATTAAAAAATTAAAGAATCGATAAACAATAAATAATAGRATGTACTTATACTCTGTCTAGCAGGAGAACGCATTGTGAGCTGACCATCGGTTATGGGGAAAACGGTTTTTGATAGTAAGATAACATGGAGAAATGTGCATTCTTTTGCTGGACAAGTTTTGACTTTGTAATAATATAATAATTCAAACTATTTATGTTTGATGAATCGAAGTATTTATGATTTGAATATTTTAATTTTATTTTTTAGCAGAACTCCAAAGTTTTATGCCACAAGTCCAGATAAGTTTTAARAGGAGATTGTAGACAAGACATTTTTGTTTTTAAGTTGAGCTTGGATGACTTATTAAGGATAATTTTAAGTACAGAAAATCTATGATTGAGGGTAGTTTTGTTTTTTGTAAGAGTTTAGACAAGTTTAGTTTTTTTTCAAGTGATAACCCTAGGTATTTGAAAGTTAAAACTAAATTTAAATTATAAAACAATATAATTTATACAACTTTGACAACTTTAAATCTTAGAACTGCATTTCTATAGGTAGGTACAAATTACTTACAAGAATTAATGAAACTACTCTAAAAGTAGGAACATTTTCTGTACTCTTAATATACACAATATGTTAATTTAAAGCTGAGTTATGATAATTTTCAAATATTATTTCATACTTTAGAAAATCATAATTTGCTTGAAAATTCAAATATTGTAATTATCCAAAGATAAGATCAACACAAATAATGTTTTTAATCTTTTAAGTTTGATAATACTATTGGTTCAAATTAATGTTTTAGCTTAAAACACAAAATTGGAAATGATAAATGAAAATTTCYMGGAAAATGTTGATACTTATGTTTTGTGTTAGTAGGTAAAACAGAGATAATAACTAGTTTTTATTTTAGTATCTAGATAAGAAAATAACTTAGTTTTATAAATAATAATTTAAAAAATATGAAGAAAGTAACTACCAAACAACCTCAATAATTTTGGTTAAAAAATTCAAATGTTTGTAATAAGTAATGGTTTAGTAAGATATTTAAATATTTAATAGTTATTATGGCCGTGGGTAGGTAAATCAATAATAATGGGTTAAAGGTAGGTACATTTATATATTATCTGCTTATACACACGTCACACTTACATAAAATATAAATACAATACCTATTACCTAGATACCTATAAACTTAATATGAAAAATTGAAAGCTACCTAGTAATATCACATAAGAACACAATATTTTACAACAAAAGAATAAGCATATTGACGGTATGTTTTGATTCTATTACTCYAAATATCATGCTTTACAATTAATTTCTATAACAAAGAAAATTAGGAAATCAGAAAATCTAAACAAACTTTTTAGATTATTTCACACATTATATGGTTCAAGTTTTGATATAAAGTCACATAAAGATATCAATAACTAAACTTGTACCTACATACAAGATACAGTAATGGGGTGAATTAACCTAACAAAAATGTTGAACTCACTCCAATACTTTAATGATGCGTTTCAATATTTTCGGGTCCTCGCACGTTTTCACATAGTCGAAGTCGACGTCGGTTAAAGGGATGCCGTACTTTTCTAACAGCGACCGGTTCTGATTGACAGCCATTTGGTTCATCACGTTCATGTTTGCAGTCGGAAACTTACATTGCGCACGATCGAACGGTCATTGGTTAAAGACAAGTAACGAGATGTATCTAAAAACGAATATTGAAAACCGATGAATTACTAGAGGGAAATATTATGAGCGTTGATGAGTGGAAGCGATTTTTTAAAATATCATTAATTCATTGTCTATAAATATCACTAAACACTAAAATTATAAGAAAATAAAAATGTTATTTTTGGTTTTGGAAACAAATTTATAGAAAAACGTGAAACGAGAATCGACTGAAACGAGAGAAAGACTTCGAAAAACATATGATTATCAACAAGGAAAAAAATCGAATGATAAGAGGTGCGAATTTGGGGATAATAGAATAACGAACACGTAACGCCATCTCGATGACCCGAAGTTGAAAAACAGTACTAAAACTGAGTAAAATCCGGTTGCTAGTAGCAACTTGTTACCATGGTCTATGCAGTCGAGCTCACAAGCAGTGATGCAGAGCATTTAATTAAATTATACTTACTGGATCTATACTGTTCTATACTGTTCTATGGTATAGTCGTATAGACTATAGATGAAACCAAGTATGTTCAATATGAACACTTTTTTTTCACTGGGTGGCACTAGTGTAGTAGTGTCACGTACTTGGTGTATTAAAATCATAGAGTAATTAATATTACTCTATGGTTAAAATACGCTTTGCAGTGATGTACAGTAAATACACCTTGTAAGTTGYAAGTAAAACTTAAAGTGTACACCTTGAGTCACGTCATARGTATCACACGGATATTGGCTATATCTTTCTAGTTTCTTACAATATAGACTATACTGCTATCGCTGGTATGAGAGATGGTTAGTCCCTTAGATCATAACTATGGATGGAGCCACGGCGTATTATGTTTATGTCTACACCTCTACACAAAAAATTGTTGCCGATATCATCGACGAGTCTCTTGATTAGGTACTTAATCTGCGCATGCACGAGGTTATACGAGATTACGCGATGTTCATCATCTGGATTATTAATGATATTAATTATTAATATAATCTAAGCTTARACCATATATTATGATCTAAGAATCGGAGATAATATCAAATATTATAATTTATAGCGTTATACTGCTTTTTATAGTTATTATTTATAATTATACTAATTATAACTTATTACGGCCTACCACTTATAAGTTACAATAGAAGATACCTTATTAAATTATTCAACCTTAAACAAATTGAATAAATAACTTCCATTTTTAGTTTTGACATTATGGCTAACTATAATGCACGTGGGGGACGAGGTGGCCGAATGGTCTAACGCGTCGGCTGTGGCTCAGCCGGCCGGGTTCGATTCTCGACTATCGCAGTATCGCCTATCGGGCGGCATTTTTCTCCGGGCAAGTCATGGTGTCCGGAGAACAAGTGCCGCCATCCCTCACTCCGGGGCATGGCAGAAACCTACGGGTGCCCCAATAGAAATTCTGCCAAACAGGTGTCCGAACTAGGCCTTCGGACCTACTCCCGGACATAGCGCCATACGAAAAAAAAAAAATAATGCATGTGTGTTTTGTTTAAAATCTGTATAATTAAATCCTGGATTAACTTTGCATGTGTAAGTTCATTAATTAATTATGCATTAATTATATGGTCTAAGCTGATATCTGATTCTCCAGCTGGTAAATATGCGACGATTAATCTCACGCATGCRCATATCGAGCACCTAATCAAGAGACTCGTCGATGATATCGGCAACAAAAAAATACGCCGTGGCTCCATCCATAGTACATGGTCTAAGGRTAGTCCATATTGTCTATTATGGTTGCTACAACCAATTGTTTGATACGTCATCGTCGTTTACAGACTTTCAGTGGACCTCAAATTRTGAACGAAAAACAAATACAGCCTTTGCGAGGATTCATGGAAACTATTCGAGATCGTAACGCCAAAAATCATAGAAAATTATCAATGTCGCATATCAATCCAACAGTCAAATAATTTTTAAAACAATTTGAAAAATTAACATTTCTAGAACTGAATTTAACAACTTTTATTGGCTATAAAATAATCTAAAAACACATCTGCTACGATCCTTAATGTAAATTGGATCAATTTTGAAGGATTTAGGATTTTCGGACAAATGTTTGAAATAAAAATTACAAATATCGAGTTTTGTACTATAATTGATAAAAAAAAAAATAATAATAAAAAATGGAATTTTGTACGTTAAAGATGTATGTAAGTGTAGTACTGTATACAATATTTTTATACATACAATCGTTTGCGTGGAAAATAGAAAATCGCGAATTTGCAGTAGGAATGTATACAAAACACCGTCAAATATTTCAAGTGATTCAACATCATTAAAAAATACATTTCGACATAACGTCTTCACTATGTCAGTATTGTATTCAGAAGAGCCATTGAGATACACTTYACCAATCAGTAAAAATTTTCAAGAGTGATTTGAATATTTCGGAGGCTTTAAATAATGTATCGTATATGAACTGTATAGGTATAGTATCGTGTATTTTTCATGAGAATATTGAATATACAAACTAATTTTAAATTATTTTAAACGAAGCAAATAAAATTGTTACTGCTTTAGAAATAAAAATTRAACCTAACAGTGCAGTGTCCCGCAGAAAATAATGATGAATATTATAGACCTTACATTTTTATTCTATGGATAGATTTTTTTGTAAACAATATATCCAAAGATTTTTAAAGAACAAAAATTTATTAAATGCTAAAATGCCTCTGCTAATTGGAAATACGCCCAATCTGAAAATAGATGAATCATAATTTAATAATAATATAAATATTAATGACAAAAAAAAATCATAACATTTAAACATTTTAGAATTTCATATAAATTATAAACCACAAAAAGATGTTAATAATGATTCAGCCAAAATCATTCATTGGGAACCATTTATTAATGAAATCAATGGTTAAACTTGTGAAAGATAGAATCTATTTTATTTTCTATATCTTTTTATATGCTGTTTATAAATGTTTTCTCAACATTGTCTGATGTTTTCACAATTACTACAGAAAAATTATCTTCAACTTTAAGGATAATAATGACATATTTAAATGCACAATGAATGATTTTGGCTGAATCATTATTAACATCTTTTTGTGTGCTGTTTATAAATGTTTTCTCAACATTGTCTGATGTTTTCACAATTACTACAGAAAAATTATCTTCAACTTTAAGGATAATAATGACATATTTAAATGCACAATGAATCAGATGAAGCTGAATGAATTAAGTATATGCTTCAGATTCACAGAGAAATCGATGTTAAAATTTCAGAAGTGTTGTCAATATTAGAAAAAACGAGAATYAAAAATAATAATCTTTTTTTTCATAATTTAATAAATTTATGATAATATTTTACAGGTACAACTTCATCATAACTACAGTAACTACGATAACTAAATAAAAACTTTAAGTACAAAAATTAAAATTAAGGTATAGTTTATTTTATAAACAAGTGAAAAAAGTTCGTGCACAGGCATGCTTTCAGATTTCTGTACATACTTACTAAATAACTTGTGAGTACGCATGCCAGAAGTTGATACAGGAATGGCAGTGGTGTAAATTGTTTAATTGATCGATAAAATTCAAGCGCTTAACTTAACATGATAATTATTATCTTCTTTATAAATATAAGACTTGGGTCAAGATATTCAATTACGTTCAACTTCGAAACCACTAACCGATTTTAATGAAATGATGTGTCTCTTTCTTGGTCCAACTTGAAAGATAGGATAGTAGTTGTTATATGCTTATATCGATAAGCAGTCCTTATGTTTCTTTTTTATTGCAAATTTAAGAAAAGATATTTAGATTTATGATGGAAATAATTTCAAATTGAAATTGAAATTGAAAATTATTTTTGTTTATAAACGGTTGCTATTGGTTTCAGATTATACATATATTATCATAATACAATAGTAAAGGAAAAATTAAGTGTRTTTGTTACCATTGGTTACTCGAGAATATGAGTTAAAAGTATCCATGAAATCGTTGCCTTTATGGTTTCAGAAAAAAAAATGATATCCTAAAAAAATATGAGAGTTGAAAATGTGTTTGTAGCTTATATATATCATATTMCAAAGCTATACTTAACCGATTTTGTGAAAATTTCAAATTATTCTTGCAGATATTAGGTAAATTTAGGAAATATTTTAAACTATGGTCGATTTATATTAAGTACTATATCCAATCAA